TAGAAGAGGATGCAGAGTCAAGAGAAGTTTGGTGTTTTGTTTTATTTTTAAATGGTAGACGTTGAGCATTTTTGGAAAGAGTAAGAAGAGAGAAAGATTGAAATAAAGGTGATTAGAGATCATCTATGGAAGGCAATGAAATCTTGAATGCAAGAGTCAGGAGGTGAGATGCCTCCTTTACTCTGATGTGGGTGGGGGAAGGAAGCAAGGGCAATTTTGACTGCAGGTAAGTAGGTAGTTTGCAGTCCAGGAAGTTTACTCTTGGCATCGGTTTCCTCTGTGAAGTAAGAAGCAGATTATCCGCAGTGTTAGAGTGGGGCATTGGAGCATATAGATGAGTTGCAAACGTTTGAAAAAGCTGCTATGAGAATGGGAGAGGAAATTGATTAGAACACATAGAAAACTTCCTGAGCAATAAGAATCTCCAGCTGAAGCGAGAAAAACATGAATTGGTAGAAATACCAATCCACATGGTCATGGGACTTTTTGTAACCACGTTTGGTCACCTGGGTGTCAGATTGATACAGGGCTTAAGCTTGCTGAGTGGATCCTACAGAATGTCAAGGAAGTTGAGGGTTTGGCAAGAAAAAACACTGAAAACAAGTATCATGTAGTCTGGATAGAGAAAAAAGTGAAGATAAGAAAAGGAAGGGAGACTGATGGGCAAATGGAGGGCTCAAGAGTCTAGAGCATAAATGAGATGAGAGTAAGGACATGAAATTTCTTGAGAAGGAGTTATGTCTATGCTAGTATATTTGAATGAGATATTATTTTAGGTGATCCTAATATCCAGGGGATATCCTCAAGAATGGATGATTAAAGTGAAGAGGAATGGTCTACCTCTTTCCCCACTGTATTCCCAGTTACTTAACACAATGTCTGGAACACAGTAAGTTTTCAGTATATATGTGTTCAAAAAAATGAATAAAAATTCTTTATCTTCTACTTCGCAGTATATTATACCAATTCTCCTCTTATTCACATATTTCATTAGTTAACTATAATTATGATAAATTCTCTAAAGGAAAACTACTGCTTGCTATGAGTTTGTGTAACATGGGATCCTGATTCAGTCTGGGGGGTTGGGGTCAAGAAGTTTTCCTAAGGAAGTGACATTTAAGGTGAGAGCTGAAGAATCAGTAGGAGTAAGCCAGGGGATGACAGGTGGGGAGAGACTTACCAGTGTAAGTAAAAGATTTCTGAATATCTTGAGGTGGGAAGAAGCTGAAAACATTCCAACTGAATAGAAGAATAGAGATAGAGGCATGGGGCTGAAAGGGTAGGTTAGGACCATATTACATAAGGTCCTATAAATCATGAAGTGCATTTTGATCCATTAGACTTAAAATGGGAAAAGTTGACATGCTATTGTTGTTAGCTTATAAGCATTAATAAGAATTATAATGTTATATGGATGTGTGATTATACGCAGTGAAATTTGAAAGCTGAAAGATTATATTGGTCTAAAAAGTCTCCTCCAGCAGCCTACTCCTTCCTTCTACACAACCTTATTCCTTTGGATTAAACAAAGTAAATGAATAGCCTTCCAAAAACCACTATCGAAATGCACTTTTGTTACCTGGAGAGAAAGTCTCTAGGCCTCCTTCTACTCTGCTACTCTCATGTTTTTCCATTAGCTTCATGATTGGGTTAATTCAGTGTTTGCATAGGGAAAAGATAAGCATCATTAATGGAATATGAAGACTATTAGGAATAGCAGAGACCTTTGGCTGCTGATGGGAAAGGGAGGCTCAGGTAGGCAAGCATTGTAATGGAGATTTTGAATATTGGGCTGTCCCATTGCACCTAAAGTTCCAGAATATACTTGTTTCACAATTTTGTCTAATAAAAACCTATGTAAAATCTCCAATTTTGCCAAGGTAGAGAATTACCACAGGCTGGCTGTTGACCCCAAGATCCAATCTCAGAGGAACTGTAGGAAATACTGGGGAAAAACTCCAGAGAAATCCCCAGGGACAAGGAAGCCTGTTTTGAACTGGTGTGTGTGTGTGTGTGTGTGTGTGTGTGTGTGTGTGTGTGTGTGTGTACACATCTGAAGCCTAGGGCAGGAGAGTTGTGTGGAAATTAGTGATAGAGGCTCAGACTGCTGGTCTAAGTGTCCTCAAGAATAACCAATCAGGGCAGAACAGAAGCTAGAGTGTAGAAAACTGGTGGGGATTGATGGACCTTGAATGTTTATTCACACCTCCCTCTACCCCCAACTCCCTCTAGCACCTAGGAGTACTTCCTTTTAAGGCTGCTTCTCCTTGAGTGGTGGAGGGTGGGATGGGTTCTAAAAGTAGTGCCTTGATCTTAAGAGTTATTTGGTGGCATGATACACAGCCTGAGCAATTAATTATGTAGTCTGGTGATTGGAGTTCTCCACCCTAATATTATCCCTTCCCCTCTCCTTGATCTCACTGGATGTTGACACAGACTGGGATATGCCCTTTGGTCTTTTCCCGTACCAAATGCTAAGACAGAACAGCTGATAGCATCAGAGAACTATATGCTCAAAGGCCAAAGTAATGAGATATCTCAGGAGAAAAACTACTTGAAAAGAAAGCAACAACCTGCATTACAGATGCCACCAGAAGCAAATATGTTAAATCCAATGGTTAACAAATATAAAATAAGCATAATAAATAACTGATAAGGAAATCATAAAAGTCAAGAGGAAATACTAGGCATGAAAATTATGTTCATAATAGTAGAAAGAACAGAGATGGATGCTAGAATAGATGTAGCTGAAAAACAAATTAGTGAGCTGGAAGATCAGATTAAAGAGCTCTCCTGGAAGGAAGAAAGGAAGAATAAAGAAAAAGAATATATGAAATAAGGCTTCCCTGGTGGCGCAGTGGTTGAGAGTCCACCTGCCGATGCAGGGGACAAGGGTTCGTGCCCCAGTCCGGAAAGATCCCACATGCCGCAGAGCAGCTGGGCCCGTGAGCCATGGCCGCTGAGCCTACGCATCCAGAGCCTGTGCTCCGCAACGGGAAAGGCCACAACAGTGAGAGGCCCGTGTCACCCCCCCCAAAAATGAATATATGAAATAAAAGTTAAGAGATAAAGAAGATTGAATTGGAATGTGAACTTCAACTCACAGAAAACAGGACTGTCAGGAGAAGAGGAAAATAAAAAGGAAGAAGAGGAAATACTTGAAGAAATGGAAATAAATTTTCTAGAATTAAAGAAAGATGAATGATGATGTATTTATGCAGTTCCAAACAAGAGCAATAAGAAGAAACTAACCCTGGCAATATTATAATGAAATGGAAATTTTACAGGCAAAAATAAAATTCTAAAATTTTCTAGAGAGATAGAGCAGATCAATCACCAAGGAATAAGAATCACCAGGATATCAGACTTTTCATGAGCAAAAAGAAGATAATGGTAATATTTTTTAAAATATTGAAAAGACAAAAGAACATTGAGCTTAAATTAATATCCAGCCAAATTGTCATTTAAATGTGAGGGTATAATAAAAATATTTTCAGGCACATAAGGCCTCAAAAGGTTTGTCACACAAAGACCCATATTGAAAAGAGTATTGGAAAAGGTCCTCAAATAAGAAAAGAAGCAAATCCAGGAGATGTTACTAGAGGTGTATGACATAAAGATAATTAAATACTTGGATAAAGTTTGGTGTTATCTTTCAAAAACTACCAAAGACCAAAGAAAAGAAAATGAGAAATTATGTCTACCATAACCTAGACTTAAGTTCTACACAATATCAAAAGGTGGTGTCTTTAAGTTAGACACTTTTTTAAGATAGAAAAAAAAAATAGAATAAATTTAAAGAAAGTAGAAGGAAGGAGATGAGTAAAATAATAGCAAAATTAATGAAATGGAAATAAAAATAACAATATAGAAGATCAACAGAGACAAAAGTTGATTCTTTGAAAAAACTAATAAAATAGGCAAGCCTGTGGCAAGAGTGATCAAGGAAAAAAAAGAAAAGTAATTTAAAAACTAGTATTTTCTTATCATCTTTTATTCTCAACTTTAAAACCTCAGGAGTCTGGAGCATGAGTGAGATGAGAGCAAAATATGTCAATGTTATTATTTGTAATATCATCTCCACACTATAGAAATGCATTTGAAGAAAATGAAATGGACAACTTCCTAGAAAAATATAATCTGCCAAATGAATTAAGAAGAAATAGAAGGCCTTAATAGTGCCATAACTTTAAGGAATTAAAGCAATTTAAAAAAATCATCTCACAAATAAAACTTTAGGCCAAGTGGTTTCGCAGGCAATTCTACTAAATTTTCAAGGAACATACCATATTAAACTTAGTACAAACTGTAATAAAGACTAGAAAAGGAGGGAATACTCCCAACTCATTTATGAGGCCATATAATCTTTTTTTTTAACCAACTAAAAAATAAAATCTCTCTCTCTCTCTTTTTTTTTTTTTTTTTTTTTTTTTGCGGTACGCAGGCCTCTCACTGTTGTGGCCTCTCCCGTTGCGGAGCACAGGCTCCGGACGCGCAGGCTCAGTGACCATGGCTCACGGGCCTAGTCGCTCCGCGGCATGTGGGATCTTCCCGGACCGGGGCACGAACCCATGTCCCCTGTATCGGCAGGCGGACTCTCAACTACTGTGCCACCAGGGAAGCCCTAAAATCTCTTTTTAAATTAAAGAATCCTAATGACTTTGAGGTAGATGAAGCTGTTATCAGATAATGAAGAAATTAGGTGTAAGATATAAAAATAACAAAACTGAGAGAAAGAAAGTGCTGATTTGAAATTATCTTCTTTAAGTTTGGATGGAAAATTAAGCACATGTCCAATTCAAAGTTCTGGGCATAAAATCCAGGTATGTCATGTGGTGGACTTGCTTCTTCAACTTGGCAGCCAATGGAAAGAATCCACACTCTATGGACCAGCAAACTAAAAAATGACTGTCACCATGAAGAAGTCAGTGACTTTGCATTTGAGTTTTCCAGCTTGGGTCATTCCCCAAAGTTCAGGCTTTGGAGTCCTAAAGTCTTCTTCAACATTTAACTAGTTCTTCGTTGGTGGAAGGGACTGGGACTGTCTCTCCACATGTAAACTGATTTTTGTCATAAGTCACTTTTATAATGAGAGAGCAGCTAGGGCACATTACCACGTCTTCCTTATTCTCCAAATCTTCCTTGGTGATGCAGAAGTTATTCCCACGTGGGCAGGGGTACAAGTACATCTCCGAGTCCTCGTCATGTTGGAAGTCCTCAGTCTCCACCTCGTCGTGAAACATCGCCATCATTACTGGGGCCAGCAGAGGTCTGTCACCTCCGCTGTCCAACCCAGGCCAGGGCATGTCCAACTTGTCCATATAATCTTGATCTTCAAAAGAAAAGGATAATATGAGAAAAGAAAATTACAGATAATTTCCTGAGGATTTTAAGTGTAGAAATCCTAAATAAAATATTTGCAAACTAAGTCCAACAGAGTATAAAAGTAAAATATACCATGTAGGGTTTTCCCAAGAATACAAATAGATTATAGAAAATCCATAAATGTAGTTCACAACATTAACAGCTTTAAGGACAAAAATAACATGATTATCTTAAAAGGTTTTGAGAAATATTTCATAGAAATCGAGCATAAATTCATGATAAAAATTCTTAGCAAATCAAGAATTTGCTTAACCTAATGAAGGACAATTATGTTATGGCAAACATTATACTTAATGGGGAAACAGTAGTAGCATTCCATTTAACATCAGGAATGATTAAGGGTGCCCAGTATCATCATTTCTATTCAACCTTGTATTGACAGTTTTAGCTAGTGCAATAAGGCAAGAAAAAGAAAGTAGAGACATAAGAATTGGAAAAGAAGAAATAGAATTGCCAATTATTTGCTGATGACATGTTAGCCTCATAGAAAATCAAAGACACCTGGGGCAAAGTATTATATTATTAGAAATAATAGGAGAATTTAGCAAAGTCAGTTCATTTCTATACACCAGTAACAAATAACCATAAAATGTAATTTAAAAGAAGATATCACTTATGGTATATTAAAAAAATCAGATATATAGGAATAAAAATTTTTAAAAAGATGTGCAGGACCTCCTTGGAGAAAATTTAAAACTATTGAGATTCATTAAAGAAGTCCTAAATAAATAAAGAGAAATACTATGATACATATTTCTTATTTCTTAAATGGAAAAAAAACTTTAATATTATAAATATTTCAATTCTCCTCATATTGGCTCATAGACTTAATGCAATTCCAACAAAAATTTCAGTAGGATTTTAATGGAATGTGATAGTTTATTCTAAAATTTATGTGAGGACTTCCCTGGTGGCACAGAGGTTAAGAATCTGCCTGCCATTGCAGGGGACACGGGTTCAAGCCCTGGTCCAGGAAGATCCCACATGCCATGGAGCAACTAAACCTCTGCGCCACAACTACTGAGCCCACGTGCCACAACTACTGAAGCCTGAGCGCCTACAGCCTGTGCTCGGCAACAAGAGAAGCCATCACAATGAAAAGCCCGTGCAGCACAACGAAGAGTAGGCCCCGCTAGCCACAACTAGAGAAAGCCCATGCACAGCAAAGATGACCCAATGCAGCCAAAAATAAATAAATAATTAATTAATTAAAAAAACAACTATGTGAAAGAATAAAGGACCAAGAATTCAAACATTTCTATAGAGGAGTAGGGAGGGGAGATTTGCTTTATTAGCCGACAGGGTTTATTTTGAAGCTGTAGTATATATAGTATGATATTTGTTCAGAAATAGAAAAATAAACTTTTGGGCAGGTAGAAAACTCAGAAGCAGACCCATGTATATATGGAATTTTGGTATACGACAGATGTGACCTGGCAGATCAATGGAGAATGGAGGGACTATTCAATAAATGTATTTGTAAAAACTGGTGATCTATAATGGAAAAAATGATATTGATTCCTTCCTTAAGTTGTTTGTAAAAATGAACTCCAGATAAATTAAGGACTTAAATGTTAAAAGTAAAATTTTGTAAATTTTATTAGAAAATATAGGTAAATACATTTCTGACTTTGAGGTAGGGAAGAATTTATTAATGACACATAAAAAACCCTCTAACCATAAAAGAGAAATCTGATGACATTAAAATTAAGATCTGAACACCAAAAGATATCTTATGAAAAGAAAAGAGAGAAGGTACCAACTGGAAGAGGATATTTGCAACCCAACTAACCAACAAAGGATTACTAGCAAGAATATATAGAGGTTTCCGCAAATTAATAAGGAAATAGCAAACAATCCAATAGACAATGGGCAAGAAATACAAACAGGAATTTCACAGAAGAGAAAGCACAGATGATCAATAAAATCATTATGAGAAGGTCAACTTCATTATTTATTGGGGAAGGCATATTAAAACCACAACGAGATACCAACTTATACCCATTCAATGGTCAAAAATTAAGAAGTGGACAATGCCACACATTGGAGAGAATGTGAATTAACTGGGTATGACCACTTTGCAAAGTTTGTTGTTATCTGATGTTGAACATTTCCATATTAACTCAGCAATTCTACTTTTAGGTATATACTCAAGAAAAACTCTATGTACAATAGGATACATAAACAAGAATGTTCCCAGCAGCACTTATTGCACTCTTAGCAAGATAAATACCTGAAACAACCCAAATACTTATCAATAGAAAACAGATAAATAAATTGTGGTAATTTCACACAATGGCATATTATATAGCAAAATAAATAGCTAGAAGCAAAAATATGAATAATCTGAGCAATAAGATTTTTTTAAAAAGGAAATTCCCTCATATTTTATAGAGCCTGAAGGTCTTTTATAATGTTGAAAACAAAGAAAATTGAACAATAGAATTATTAGGAATACAAATGTGATAAAGCTATAATTTCAAAAACAAGTTATAATAATAACTGCAAGATTCAAGGAAGGGGAAGTAGAGGAATAGACTGGGGAGAAGCCCATAGGTGGGTGTAAATGATTGTTAATGTTCTAATTCTTGTATTGGGTGGTTGGTTCACATGTATTTAAATTATTAATAATAATAAGAAAATTCATATATAAGTACATAGTTTATATAAATAAAAACAAAAGAGGACCGTGCTTAGACCAGTGATGAGGGTGTGTTACAAATCAAAGATAATCTAATTCTGTGCTCTTGAGTGGAAAACCAAGAACAATATCAACAGCCGCACATGTTTTGCTTTTATTATTAGTTACCATTAATCCACCCAACAATCCTATTTTTGGTTACTACTATGATTTTTTTTTTTTTTTAAGGCTAAACCACAAAAAGAATTTATTTAAGTGTCCTGAGAGGACAGGAAGGTGGGAGCTGGGAGAGCTGAGACCAGGATGTCTGATACTTGCTTCCCATATCCTGTAGAAAAAGTTTTCTATTCCAAGACCTAGTCCTTCACATTTTTTTGTTTTCCATTAGTGTTCTGTTTGCTCATCTGTATGTATAGCATTTCAATGTACATTTACATACAACTTAATGTAAAAATGCCTTTTACTACAATAACCATTGTGTCAAACCACAGACTAAAAATTTAATGTGCTGTAATATTAGCATGTCAGTGCCTAGTCCACCTTTAACTGCTGGCTCAATCAGTAAATATTGGATGGCCATTTCTTTAATCATTTGAATTTTCATGAAATACATATCCAGTTATTCTTCCCCTCCTTCACCTGACTCGCTCTTAAACTGCCTTTCTTCCTTTTACTCCATCTCATATTCTGCAGTGAAGACGTTTCAGTACCTACTCTTCTGAGAGATTGGCTCAAAGAGACACAGATGTAGAGAACAAACACCAAGGGGGGAAAGGGGGTGGTGGGATGAACTGGGAGATTGGAACTAACATATATACACTAATATGTATAAAATAGATAAATAATGAGAACATGCTGTAATGCACAGGGAACTCTGTTTAACTTAGCTGTACAGTAGAAACTAACACAACATTGTAAAACAACTATACCCCAATTTAAAAAAAAAGAAAATTTTATGTATTATGATTTCCTTTTTACAAATGAATCAAATCTTAGTGAGTTAACATAACTTGCTTGAGCCCACAAAGCTGGCATGTGGTAGATTCCAGAATTTGAAGTTTCATCTGTTTGACTCTAGGGCCTAGCCCTTACAACTGGGATAGGCTCCAGGTCATTAAGATTGTTTTAACCACTATATACCAACCTAGAGTAATTGTTGTGCTGAGGACAACAATCTCTAGATATGTGAAGGTAAGTGTTCACCAAAGATTTCATTTAAGTGTTTTGCCAAAGTATGCCGTGGCAAGTTGAGGAATTTGCCCATGTGTGTCATAATGGAAAAACTGTGTAAAAATGAAGAATCATTGAGTAATAAGAATTTGAATGCGAGAGAGCTCAAGTAAGAAATGTCATGCACTGTTGGATCAGGAGTGATTCATTCCTTTAGTCTGCATAATGTTCCTTTTCCATATGCCCACGCAGGAATGTATAGATATAGAGAGAATGTTCACAAAACCTTCTGAGTGGTTGTAAACGTGCTCTACACCTGATTTATTCTGCTTTGTGACCTCACCCAGACACCCTTCTTTCTGGTTTCTTGTGTCTTTAAAACACACCAAATGTGAAGCACAGGCCCCCTCTACTGGTTAGCCACGTTTTGTCATAAGTGTCTTCCTAAATAGGCATCCATCCATCCCTGTGAGTAAAGATAAGTTGATGCTTATTTCTAGTGCCCTGATTTTTTTTGGAATGCAGAATTGACAGTGAGAAAGAGAGAGGAGTATGTATTTTTTGTGAAGAAGACAGAATGTCACCAAGAACCTGGTTCGTGGGCAGATGCCGTATAATGACTTGTATGGAAACTTTGGGGGAAGAAGATTGGAGGTGTGGAGATCGACTTTAGAGGCAGCATTTGTAGTCTTTGCTTTATAGCTTAAATGTCTATTAACTTTCTTTAACTCATCATCCAAATTAAATTTATTAGGTAATCCCACAGACCGATGTCTTTTTGGGTGTATCTCTACCCCATTTCCCTTGAAGTTGGGATTCTCTTCTCCTTCCTGTGTTTACATGCCAAATCTATTCATCAGAGTAAAATGAGGACCTCTGAGGCAGAAATCACATTTAATTTTCTGTCAGGTTCAGCCCCCAACTCCCAAATAGTGCATACCACATGGTAAATATCAATTATGCTACTTAGCTACCCTTCTCAAATTGCCATGTAAGGACGGAAAACATTCCCATCCAGTAGCCCAAGGAAATTCAAATCAAAAGGATGAAAGA